TTGGATAATTAAAAAAAAAAAAAATCAGCTATTTATTCAGTCTTTTCTGTTTGAGGGCTTTAAGTTATATGTTTACTGTGGAATATTTATAATACAGCAGAAAACTCTCCTCCTCCCTCAACTGTGGCAAGGCAAGCAACAGGAAGCTGATGTTTGTATTTTCTTAAAGTAATCACTCTGTGTGTATTCTGGCTGGTTCATTCAGATTCACTTGAAGTTCAGAAGTTATGTATTTCTGTTTAATCTGTTCATTTGCACAAGGGAAAGTTTGACACAGATTTCAAGCTCTCCGATTCCAACCTGTGTGTACTCAGCTCCAAATTTCGCTAAAAAAAGTTTAGCTTTGAAGGCCACAGACATCTTGAAGGAAAAATAATTTAAAGAAAAAAAAAGAGTGAGAGGAAGAATGATGTATTTGTTGTCAGCAGAATGTGATGGCATCATAGCTGTGGAATCTGGGATGATGACTGTCCATCAGAAACGCCTCCAGCAAAGAGCTGAATACTGTCTCTCGTCATTAAAGCAGAGTGATGTTTTGCAGGAACTGACATATAATCAAGATACTGTTTTGTGAGTTAAATCTGAATAAGTTTCAAGTAGAAGTTAAATTATTGGTTTAGTTTTTGCTTCTCAGGGCACATCGGTGGAATATCACTTGGAGTTACTCAGGTCATGCAGCCAGGCTGTTCCACTGTCAGCCTGTCTGTTTACCTGTCTGAAAGGTGACTTTGGTTCTTTTGCATTTTATGTGGCTGTCAGAGTTGTTCTTCCATAAATATCAGAATTCATGCACATTCCCAAATCCATTCTGGCAGTCACCAGAGTACTTACAGGTCAGGTAGTGAACAGATAGAAGACTTAATTCATGTACTAGCTTTAAACTATAGGATTAGTGTATTTTTTTTTTATTTTTTTTTTTAGTACACAGTCTCCTTCATACATCCCAGAGGTCCAGCAGTTTCAGCCAGACTGATTACTTATGCAGAAAATATAATTGACTTACTATTTGTTTGTTTAAAATAATTTTTATTTTTTGGGCTTGGAGAGACAGCCTGTACCATGTCACAACTGTTCAGTGATATGTGGCGTAAAGGAATAACAATTGGCCAATAAAAAATTTACAAAAACTGTAATGTTTTTATGTTGTGTATTGTTTCAGACTTCGTAGAGAATATTTTAATAACATATGTACTTTTAGAAATCATTTTTCTCATGTAAATGGTTCACAAGTCTAGGATTGTATTGTAAAAGATCAGTTGAAAACTTTCAAACTGTATTTTAAGTGGTAAACAAAGTTTTTAACTATTTTTTTTTCTTCTGTAAAGTTACATTTTAAAACCTTAGACTTTAGTGGGAAAACTGCATGCCTAAAATCCAAAATGCTTAGATCAGTTGTCCTTAGAGCAATTCCTAAGACAAATTGCAGTACAGGCATCCTGTTACACACTGTATGTATGAGACTGCTCCGAGCCATCTCTCCCTTCAGCAGCAAAGACAGTGAATCATGGAAAATTTAATCTCATCATGTAATTTGGCCTTGGAGGAGACTGACGTGGGGGAGAAAAAAAAACTCAATAGGCTCAAAGAGCCTATTGATAGGTAGTCAGGACTACCTATCAATAAAATCTCTTCTGGTTTTTGTTTTATATGACAAAATAGTCATCTTTAGGAACAAATCTTTTCTCACCATCTCTGACCTTCAGTGAATTACTATGAAGGTCATGAGCCAAAATCATATATTAGTGAACAACAAAGCATTTTGGGTACAAAGTATAATGCAGGTAGCAGGAGTTACTGTAAGAAAGAGGAAAGGAACAAATACTCCTCTTCACTTGCATGTAAGGGACTTTCAGTGGCATTAAGTACTTTGAGCTGGAACGCTATTTTATTTTCTCTTATGCTGTCTGTGAACCTAGGGGTGTATAATGTATCAATGCCCACAGTGTATTTAAAGGATCTTTATTCTTGTTTCAGGTAGTGCTGAGTTCATTTCCAGTCTGGACATTGTAGTTTAGCTTTCAGATGCTGGTGAGGCAGAGGACCTATTTTGCTTTTCCTAAAGTTTATAGTAGGTTCATTCGGTGTTTAGCCAGGCATTACTTCCCAGGCTCTTTCTGAGAAGAATGAGCTCTCTGCTCAAAATCCCTCTGCAAACTGACAGCATAATTTATTGTTCATGTTCAGCTGGTTTTACAGATTCTGTGGGGCAGACTAGTCAGATCTTTAGATTTTTTTTTTTGTCTTATTTAGATTAAGAAACTATTTTTAGATTTAAGTTCTACCTGCAAATACATACAAGAACAGACATTTAATAGGTGTCAAGTTTATATTGTGTTGCTGTATGTATTGTGTATTACTAAGGAGATTCACTGAGTCTCTCTGAAACTGATTCTTTTCTTAGTCTTTGATATGAATCAAAGATGACTTTTTGACACTAGAAAAAATTGCATAAGGAAAAGCAAAAAGAGAGACCCAGTTTTAAAGTACAGATCTAGGTTCTGTGCGTAGATATTGCAATGATTTGATTGATTTTTCACTCTTCTCTCTTGAAACTATTCTACTATCTACTATACATCTGCAGTGAAAAGGCAGTCATTATGCAAGCTTTGTAATATTATTGTAGGAATGTTGCTAATATTTTCAGTTCCCTTGAAGAGCGATACTCTTCTGTTCAAGAGCATTTTTATAATACATAGACTAGAATGTTTTATTTTAGCTCTGCATGGTATGATTTTATTTTCAACAGGGCAGTCACTGACCTGTGCCCAAGCGCACCTGCAATCACTGCCATCTTTGGTTTGGAAGCCAGAACATGATACAGAGTTTTTCATCTGGACTTTGATGTGTCACTGCAGAAAATAAGCATTTGGATTAACACTAGCTTCCATCTCTGACAGGTCTTATCTCTCACCCTTTTCACACCAGGATTGGGGTTAAGTGCAGAAACACCTGCTTTGCCTTCACTACTCATTCGTTGACTGACACTGTTTACACTTTGATAAAGTCTGTCTGTTACCTGAAATTGTTTTCTAAACTGTCTGGATGCATGATGCCCTCCCTCCACTGACCTAAGCAAGCTCCACACCCGTGTTTTGAAAATCATTATATGCAATTTACTCATGAGAAAATGAAGCACATGGAGATCAAGCAGCTTCATTTGTATTTATTGCTGTCAGCATTACTTTCTGTTTGTCAGGATGGTCAAGAGAATAAATGCAAGACTGAGTCAGGAACATTAATGGAACATAATGTGAGTCAGGAACATTAATCATGGATTGACACACATCACAGCTGTGACTGCTCAATTCACTTGCTGCATCAGGTTTTTTATCTCCTTGCCTGGGAGGAGGTAGAAAGGGGTTTTGTTGGGTTTTTTTTTTGATAGCATGGAGCAGTGAAACCTTCAGAAAGTTTCACAGAATACTGGCAACAAACTAGACTGGTTTTGGTATTTTTTAGTTTAGTAGTTGTACTTTATCAGCTGATTATGAATGAGCTTTTCTACACAGCTAAGAAATGAAACTTTTTTTGCCTCAAGAGAAAGTTGGTTTTAGTTTTGTTTATTGAGTTTACAATAGCTTGCTGTGCTTCTGGTTACCTATGCAGATTGCAAGCCTTGCTTGAGGGAGGCTGCAGGGTGTTCTAAAGTGCTTATTTGGATCCATCTGTTGCTGATGTGTTCATATATTTCCAGAAATGCTCAGAGAGGTAGTTTCCAGGCCCTCTCTGAAGCAGCTAAAGGAACAGCATTTGACAGGGATGTGAAGCATGTTGTATTTTTGAACACTCTAGAACTGCTTTTTTTCAGCCACTGAGGTACCATGAAACAGTACTAGCTGAGCTTTTTTTACAGTTTTTGTTTTCCATAAGTGACAGTTGTGCTTATTGACTTGTGTCAGAAGCTTTCAGAAAGACGTATTTTCTGTTACTCTTTATTCTGACAAACCTAAGCTCTTTGGTCTGGAATTTTCCACCAAATATATATATATATTTTATGTTTATGCTAAAAATATTTCTTCATTTCTGAAAGTAGATCTAAGGAAAAAATGTTCTTAAAATGTTCTTGCACTATTTTGTTCAGAAGTATGGGTACTAGCTGTTTGGTAGGGAAGTTGTGAGTAGTAGTTTTTTGTCTTCCTTGTGACAGTTCTCCTTGTGACAGTAAATTTTGCCAACTTACTAAATCCTAGATTCTCTAAGGGGTGAATTTATACTCAGCCTGCTTCTTGCTGGCTTTGCAAGAGCCAAGTAGAATCTTTGAGACAGGCATTTCTTGTGAATGCCAGGGACCGCCCCAGTCCTTGGCACCAGTGGTGAGAGCTGGTTGCCATTAGTTGGTGCTCTGTGTGTGTGTCCTGTCAAGGAAGGGGAGGAAAAATACAGAGGAAAAAAGTGGATGGTGGAAAGGCAGAATGAAGAAGGCAAGAGCAGAAAAAGGTGAAAGATATTGTGGAAATAGGGCAAGACAGGAGTGAGTGGAGTGAATATACATACTAGAACACAGGGCAATGAAAACAACTGTGGGAAGTTGTGGGGAACAGGGGCAGGACAAAGAATATTTGGGGGAGGGAAGGAAAGAGCTATGACAAGGAAGGAGCTTGGATGCTGAACAGGGACAGAGGTTTCAGATCTCTGTAGCCTTCTGATTCACCAGCTGCTCCATTAGCTGAAGGGATGGTGGGTTGTGCAGGGCTAATCATGGGCAAACAGATTCTTCTGGAATTGGTGGCATGCCTGTAACACACAGATGATCAGCATAATTCTGTATGGTGGCATTTTTGTTCAAGATGCAGAGCAAGACATAAGAGATAAACATTTTTCTTTCTGTGTGGAATATTTGATAAAGCTGAAAAGCCCTTCTCTTAAAAGGTAGGAAGTGCCAGAGCTGTGTTTAGTCCTGCAGTCTTTATGCAATCCTCTTGTCTTTTGATATGCAATCACACCATATTTTTCAATTATGGAATACCTTGGTGATGATGCTTTACTTTCCAGAGTCTCTGTGGACTTCCTTTGTTGATGGCAGAGTCAAGCTGAGAATAGATAACTCATGTCTGCAGACTCCCATGACAGTTCATCAGATGTTCAAGGAGAGCCTAGAAAAATATGGATCCCTTAATGCTTTGGCCAGCAAAAAGAATGGAAAGTGGGAGAAGATAACTTTTTCAGAGTATTATTGCCTCTCCAGGAAAGCAGCCAAGAGCTTCTTGAAGGTAGGTACAGGAAACAAAACCAATTCCTTTTTCTCTCTGTCTCGTAAAAAAAAAAAAACAAAACCACAAAAAAACCTCCAAACCACCACAATATAAGATGTTTTTCCCATTAACTGAAGATCAGCAGTCGTATTCTTTATTAAAATAATAGTGATGAAAATTAGTTTTGGTCAAAGAGAGAACATTGCTGTCAAGGGAACTTAACTGCAAGTGAAGAGCTGTTGTGTTACACTGTCTCATTGGGGCATGGGTACAAAGCTTAGCAGAAGGCTTTAAGATTAAAAAAAGAAAAATAGATGAATTAGGTCATTAATTTGTCAAGATAAAGACTAATTTTAAAACACTCTAAATATAGGGCATGTTTAGTACTCATTGTGCTCTTGGTCATATTGAAATGTTCTGGTTTTAGGGCCTTTCTGGTCAGCAGGGCTCCACCCAGACAGGAGAAGGTAGTGTAAAGTTTAGATCATGTTAATTGCTGCTAAATACTGGTTTTGTTATAGATTTCAATGTAGAGATGTGCATGGACATGTCTTGCCAACACCAAAATAATAAATCCAAACTTTTCATGGTTTATATTTGTGTATATGTTTCATGCTATAGGTTTCTCTTCAGTGTGCCTATAACCTTATGTGTATTATTTTTAAGCTTGGTCTTCAACGATTCCATAGTGTAGCAATCCTTGGATTTAATTCTCCAGAATGGTTCATCTCAGCTGTTGGAGCTGTTTTTGCCGGGTAAGATATTTTTGGGTTGGTTTTGTAGGGGACTTCTATTTTGCTAGGTCTGGAAATGTAGCAAATCGGAATTAGGTATCATATATTTTGTGCTGCAGCCGATTAGCATGCTCAGCGACCTGCTGGAGTCTCATAGCTTTCAGTATATCTGAAATAGTCCAGACACTCATACATTGGTCCTGTTTGCTGTGGGCTTAACTGTAACAGTCACACAGAAGCTATTGTACAATATCTTATTACTGGAAAATGTGGGAAACAGATGATACTCCCAGTTCTATACCAATGATATTTGTCTATAGCAAGATATGTTCAGGCAGATGAAGTGACAGATAAATACTAACTAGCCTGATTCCTTCTGTCTTGATACCTGTTTATGCAATTTGGATTTTACCTCTTAAGCTGTTTCTCTGCCAGTAAAATTCAGATTGATAACTGTGTGCAGCTTGAACAGAAAGAGGACTTCAGTGTTTTTTTACCACTTCCTGAGCTAACTCTGGTGTAGCCTCAAGTCGGTTAAAATGCTGAATCCTAGCTTACGGCGGCATCTGCTGAATGGAGTCCAGAGGTTAATTTTTGCAGTGTGCATATATCAGAGATATTAACGTATATCTGAATACTTGAAACACACATGACAGCAGTGCTGCTGTTTACTTTTACATTTTCATACTCTTTCGGCTTTCATCTGATCTGTGATTATTACTCTTTTTTGACACTAAGTGCATGTATATATGTGTGAATGTATGTAAATCTATGTTCTTTTATATCTAAATATATTTATCTAATTTTTTGATACAGAGGAATTGTCACAGGAATATATACAACCAATTCTCCAGAGGCCTGCCACTACATTGCTTATGACAGTAAAACCAATATCATGGTTGTGGAAAATCAGAAACAGTTGGACAAGATAATGCAGGTATAAGGTGGCTGGATGGTTACTTAAAAACAATAATTTTCCCATTTCTCAGTGCTGTATTGGTCCCAAATACCATATTTGCTATCTGTATTGTGAAACCTTTCATGGGAGTTGTTTGCTGAAGCAGGGAGCCCTCTGTGATGGAATTTTTTTCCAGAAACATTTACCTGCCAGAGAGAAAATATCCATGGATTTTTTCCAATATATTTATTATAAATTATAAATGAATTGATTTGTATTTTATAGTTTTGTTTTAGATGCAATTTAAAGGAAGAGAGATTGCATGTTTTTCCAGGATACTTACAAAAATCAGACAAGCCTTGCAGTGTCCTTGACTAAATACTAGGCTATGCTGTCCTGAATGTGGAGAGAATAATAGAAATTGAAGAACTGGAGGGATTTGATTTGTATACATTTCTATCTAGAAAAAGAAAAGACAGCTCAGCCAGCACTGTTTTATCCAGCTGAGGGTTTTTTGAAACTTTTTTTTTTCCTGGAAGGACCCACAACTGAAATAATAACATAACATTTCAATTTTTATCCTTCTAATAATTTATATATAACGGCTACTGTCAAGCCACTGCTTTTATATTAGCACAGGTTGATTGAGTCAGTTCAAAATGTGATTAATTCAAAGGCATTTGTGAGGCACTGGTTCCCACACAGTTCAGTGAAATTAATGCTCTCTGCAGGCCATGCAAAGCAGAGAGAGAACTACTGAAAGCAGCAGCCACTGCTGTTTGCCTGTAAGCCTGCAGCTTTCTATTTTTATTTATCCTTAAAATGTGTATATGGCTTCCTTTTCTTTTTTTCTTGAAGAAAGTAGAACTTTTTTTAGCAGTTAAACAACAGTTTTTGCTGAGGGACTTCCTCAGTCTTTATTGGTAGCCACAGCAGCTAGGGTCAGCTTGTAGCTTGACCTAAACAGTTCCTTGATGTGCCCTTTGCATTGTAAAAGAGGATGATGAGGAGCCATTTCTGATTTTTTTTTTTTTTTTTTTTTAATCTTTTGACAGAAAACAGATTTTCTAGAACAGATTGTGTAGCATCTAATTTTTTCCGCCTTCTTTTTTTCTTTTCCTTCCTCTTGCCAAGCTAGTTGGTTTTGAGTTTAGGGGAGAATATTAGAGGGTGGAGGGAGACAGGAGGTTTCTTCTGACTGTCAGGCCATTACAGTTCTGGCAATATGTTATTGGGAAAAAACCCCACACAAGATGAATAAAAATAATTTTGTTTTTTAAAAACCCAACAGATCTGGAATCGCTTGCCACACTTGAAAGCTGTTGTGCTATATAAGGACTCCATTCCAGACAGACATCCCAATTTGTATACGGTATGTGAGTGCTAGACCAGAGTTATAATTCATGGAGTATTATCTATCTGATGAATATTTTCTGAGTTTAATCCATGAAATGTCTACCATTTAGAACACATTGCTGTGTTCCAGCAAACACATTTAAAAGCTTCATTAGCTTTTTCAGTTTATCTTTAACTTAATGTTTCATATTTGACATTTAAAATTAGAGCTACCTCACTTAACTGTCAATCTTGTGTCTTCCTGCCTTTTTACTTATCTGGATTAACAAAACACCTGTAGTCTTCGGGTGGGAATGTATACTCTCACACTGTTAAAAACAGAGGTAGTCTGCTGGTGCTAGCGAAAACTTAATTGTGGTTAGTTACAGTGGGTCCAAGAACATCAAAATGCTTGTACTTTTACAGATGATAGTTGCATTTTGTTTGCACCATATATTTCTAGTGGTAGGCGACAAGTGAAGAGGAATAACTATGGACTATACAAAGAGAAGCACATTTTCTTAGTATATGTAGGATCTTTGTATTGCATGGCAAAAATATAGCAGAAAAAGGAACAAAGCCAGGATCAGAAATTTCTGAGTGGTGGAAGTCCAGCCTTTAATGTCAGAAAACTCATGTCTTTAAGCAGAACAGATTTTTTGTAAACATGTTATTCCAATATATTTTGAAAATATAATTGAAAATAGTTAAGCAATAAGAATACAAAATTTAGCATTTTTAAGTGAACTACAGATTATCAGATTCTAGGCTGAAAAACTTCAACTGCGGAAAAAAAGATATTAATGAAGAGTGAACATTATAGAAATATTTTAAAATATTTGCAGTTTTGATAATCTAAGGTGTTACTAGGTACACAAGAAAAAATTCTGCACTCATTTTAATCAATCTTTTCCTATGTTGAATAGCATATAACTGTTTAACAGTTACTATTAGAGTACTGTACGTACTGGTATAGAGTATGCCTTGCATCTCAGTACAATAAAATATTAATGCAAAGGTGATGTTACTATTTATATTTCTTAGTGAAAAGACTAAGTGCTATTTAATTCTGAAATGCTGCTGAGTTGCCGAAAACTAAATACCTGAGAATTTATATACTTGAAAATACCCCTGTTTGGCTGTCATGTTGGACGTATTTTCTCAATGGAGAAGAAGAGCTGTGAGAGTGTCTGACCGTTGCCATAGTTTGTGTTGTCTAAAAGATCAAACCACCAAAGGCAAAAATGATTATTTATTAGGTTTGATGTAAAGCAAACCACCTGAGCCACGTGGCATTTGATAAAAGGGATTTGTGGTGCAAGTTGACAGCTAGCATGTGATGAAGGATTGCTGCTGTAAGGGCAGAGCCCTAGTTCTCTGGTCAGCGCATGTTTCCAGAAAGCAAATGCAAAGTCAGTAGTGTGTGTGACTGGTTGTACCTTTCACACTCTGTGGCATGGGAGGCTGGCTGTTGCAGGTACTGTTCAGTAAACAAAACCTAGGCAACAGATTCACAGTGATTAATGAATTCCAGTATGAGAAGACAGTAAGGTCAGGAAAACAGAAACAGCTGCTAAGTCACATAGAAACAGGTACAACCTTGACACCTCCAGACCTTTCCAGGGGCTAGTGAAATTGACGCAGCCACATTCTGTGGGAAGGGATGGGATGTGACAAATCCTCTGCTGGCTATGAAGCTGTGCATTGTACTGCTTCTCTTTTCAGAGATGTGGTTTGTTGGAAGAAAGTTTAAAACTGATTATTGTTAATTAGAAGAATCGTTAGGACAGCCGTGCCATAGAGGCTAACCTTAGTAGCCCACTGGCAATGGCAGAGGTCTTAAAGGAACAGTGAACCCCCCCTCAAGCACAGGCTCTTCTTTTTTTACCTCTGCTGTCCTTTGCATCATCCCTTTTACTGCTATGTGGTCCTAAATATAGCTCCAAGAAATCATTGAAGAATGGAAGTGCTGCATCTTGCATTTGAATGATGGGGTTCTGTAGCACAGTATGAGTCATCTGATTCCAATGGGAAACTGACAGTTTGCTTATTTACTTTCTTCAAAAAAATTGTTAGACCCCATTTTTCAGTTAGCATTGAAATCAGTGGTACACTTAGCAGTGTATCAGGTGCACGAAAGAGAAGTATCTGGGAGCAACCAGTATAACACAGAGGATCAGGTTCAGCATTCTTCTGGGCCAGTTTGTGGTGCACAAAAGTCCAGCAGCATAAAAGGTTTAGCTCGTTCCAGATTGAGCCAAATTTGAATGGAAGTTGTGACCAGCCTCCTACGCTCTGTTTGCTATAAAATAGCAGATAATTTGGGCAGATATTCACACATCTAGATGATGATGCTTTCACACAGAAGCTTTCATCCAATTGCTTTATATTTATATTTGTATTTATATAGAGGAAAAGGAATTACAGATGGAATGTCACAGGTTACTCTTAAAAACAGTACATCCAGATTCTTTTAAACAAGACTCAAAATCATTCTAACTGTGTGAGAGAGTAACAGAATATTAGCCTCTATGACTTGTCCATAGTGTCCATCTTGGAGGAGGAATAGTATTACCATTCCCTTCTTAGACACTGAAAAAAAACTAATGGCAGCAAGTTTTAAATAGTCTGTTTGGAGTTAGCACATAAACTCCTACGCTGGTCTTATCATATTTCTTACATAGGCAAGAGCTGGGGAAACTTGCCTTGCAGACATGTTCAGAGCCAGGCACTGAAGTTTTCTGCCATTTTTGAGACTCATAAGGTACTGCATCTTTCCCACTTGTAAGAAGCCATTTGATATCCTGTATTTTCTCTTATGTGTTCTAGATGGAAGAGTTTCTGGAGTTGGGAGATGACATATCTGATACTACTTTGGATGATATTATTAACTCCCAAAAGCCAAATCAATGCTGTGTGCTAATATACACATCCGGAACAACTGGGAAGCCAAAAGGAGCCATGCTGAGTCATGACAATGTATGTACTTCAGGCTCTTCCTTTACCATAAAAATAGCAAAGTATGAGATATTTATTCCCGTGACTGGTACATGCTAGAACCTTGAAATCATTTTACTTTTGCAACATTAGTAGTGCACTAGAAAGCAATATTAAAAATGCAGTCAGCTGTTTCTGGAAAGTATAAGCATGGTAAAAAATGAAACTCTAGCACTTCACAAGGTTTAACAGTTTGTTATGCATATATTTTTTTTATAAACTGTGTGTATATTCATAAATATATCTCACAGATTGCCATAAAGTCTCTCAGGTATCACTTGAGTTTCTACATAGATCGCTGGAGCGTAATACAACTCTAGTGCATAGTCCTGGTACTTATGATAGCACTACCTGCATTGTTGCGAACAGAAAATTTTCCAGTCATGGAGAAAAGCAAAATTGTTTGGAAAAGGGACTTTCCTCAGAGGTCTGCTAGCAAAGATCTGGACTGTAGTTGTTTTGATTTTTTTAATTTTTTTTTTTTTTTAAGGTGGCTGAGCAGGAGTCGGGAAACTGGTAGGGAGCCTTTCTGAACACATAAACAATCTGTGAATGGGCTGGTCTAAGTTGTGGCCTCTCCTCTTAAAATAATGCAGAAACTATTGCAGACATGCGCTCTATGAGGAGTAGTTCACCCAAATGTAGGGGATTAGTACAATAGTATCTGGAAGCAGAACACAGTAGACTTGATAGACAAAAAGAGGGATCTGATGTTGCAAATCCCATGCTCTTCCATCTCAAAGGAGTCTGGTGTCATTTCCATGTTAGCTGCCAAACTATTCCTGGCTGCTGATCACAAACAGGCTATTTTTATGTTGTCGAACGGAGGAAAAATATGCCTTGCCTGTAACTGTCACTGCCTTCTTTAGTCAAAAGATGTTTGCCACTGTCCATGTGTAAAACTAATGCTGAGTCAGTCATATGTGCACCCACACAGATCTACTGTGAGTGTGCCTGCAAGCTCCAAGGCTTTGAAGGACAAGGAGGATAAAATGTAGCCCCATCTCAAAGACGCCTCATTCTGCCTATTGTTTAAGTCTCCCATTGCCACTTGTCCAATGCTGCTATCTAAACTTGGAGTGGCCTGGCCAGACAGCATGCTGCTCGTTAAAAACCTCTCTTGAGAATCTGTATTTCCTTAGAGCAAGCGTACGCTTGTGATTTCTAATTTATTACAAAGAAAAGGAGCTGGCAGGAACATAACAGGTATTACATGTTGTGATAGTTTAACTGGGCTGGCCAATGGCCAACAGCCAATACAGCCATTCACCCACTTCCCCCCCACCCCAGGGGATAGGGGAGAGGATTGGGGGGCAAGGATAAGGAGGCTTGTAGGTTGAGATAAGAACAATTTAATAATAGAAATAAAAGAAAACTTAAAATAATACTAATATTAAAATAGTAGTGATAATGATAAAAGTAACAAAATATACAAACGAGTGTTGCACAATGCAACTGCTCACCACCCGCTGACCAAGCCCGGCCCGTTCCCAGGTAACAATCCTGGAGGTGTGACAATCCCAAATCCGCAATCCCAGAAGAGCGAGAGCCCGAGTGAAAGCCAGAGAGAACTAAAAGAGGAAGAGCCCCTCACTAATATACTGGACATGACATGCATGATATGATACGGAATATCCCATTGGCATATCTAAATGCCAGTTTAGTTTATTAATTTAAATATTCCTCATCCCCTTAAATCTCGTGCTTGTAGACTAACAGAACACAAAGTCCTTCACTTCCAGTGACAAAAATGCAAACACTGGTATGTTATCAGTGTCTCTCTGATAACAAATTCCAGGCTGAAAAGCAAAATGCAGCATTATTCTAACTACTGAAAAAGAAACCCAGCTCTGTCCCAGCTAAAAACCTGGACATGTGATTTGTATCTCGCCCCTGCCATCTTGAATAATCTCATTTCTGTGTCCTGCCCTACCCATTTTAGATTACAGACAACTCTGAGAAATAATTGTTTCTTGTTTTGGTTTGGGTTTGGTTTGCTGTGGGGTTTTTTTTGCTGTGCAGATATATCTTTTCCCTCCCTGCTCATACCATCACATATATTTGTGGGTCTCCGTATGCTATATTGTGATAATGAAGATAGGAATATTTAGCATCCTTGAACTGCATCTTCTGAGATAAAGTGGGAATGAGGAAGAAGGGGGGAAGAAGGTGGCAGCTGCTATCTTCCTCATTAGTGCTTAGCCAGATGATGATCAGTACAAAACAATGAGCTTGTTGCTGATACTAAACTGTCCTTTGAACTCACTGATCACTGAGTATTTATGGTTCTTTTTCTGGTAAACATATAGACATAGCACTGGTGAAAAGGGCCAGCTTGATAGAAAGTATGAACAGTAGGAGAGTTGCAGAAGAAGGTGTAGATCAATTTAGTCCTTATCCATCCAGCTTATGGCTGCCCTGCTTGGTGTATTGCTATAACATAGGGAGCTGGTAGTATTCATAGTCCAGTCAGGCAGCAGAAAGACCACATTTACTGATGTTATCTGCAAGTCTATGTTGATGCTAGGTTCATTTTGCTTTTGACTGCGTGTCCCCCCAGGGAACTGACAGTCTGGTGTGTTGTCAAAGATTGCGATGTCTTCAGCAATTCCTGCGAGCACAGATTCTCCATAGTTATATTAGCATAGCACGAGGATCCTTAGTTTGTGTTAAAAGGAAAAAAGAAAAAGATCCCACCATGCCTAATGTGTTTTTTAATTTATTTAAACAGATAACTTGGACATCAGCACATTGCAGCAGAGCAGGAGATATGCAACCTGCAGAGGTCCAGCAGGAGTCTATAGTCAGTTATCTTCCCCTCAGCCACATTGCTGCACAGATATATGACTTGTGGACTGGAATCAAATGGGGAGAGCAAGTTTACTTTGCTGAGCCAGATGCTCTGAAGGTATCTGTCTTGTATTGAACCTAATTAAGCTTGCACTTCTTCCTCTTAGAAAACATCGCAAAGAGACAATATGATCTTTGAAGAGGTGCAGAAGGTGAAGAGTCCCATTATTGTAAGAAATTATGGAAAAATAAAATCCATTAGACTTGCGATCCAGTGCTCCAGACTGCAGTTAAACTGTATAGTCCAGGTGCATAAGCTTCTATTAAGGCAGAAGAATGTGCATCCCAAGCAGAAATATAAGCAACTTTTGGAGGAAAGGGAGGCAAAAGGAACTAAACCACCTGTGCATTTTCCTTCTTGTATACATACCTCCCCTGATGTGTCAGAGGTGGCACGTGTTAGTGCATATGTCTGACAAAAGTTGGTTCATCAGTCCTTCTTTATACCCTGCACGTTTAGTGATGTTCTACGTTAGCATTGTAAGATGCAGACTGTGTCACCAAACCCCTTTATCACTGCTGTGCACCTTTTGCAATGTTTTGAAATAATTTAATGTTTTTAACAGGGCAGCTTGATCAATACACTAAAAGAAGTGCAGCCAACATCTCACATGGGGGTTCCCCGAGTATGGGAGAAGATAATGGAGAAATTAAAGGATGCTTGTGCTCAGTCAGGATTTATGAAGAAGAAAATGCTGTCATGGGCTATGGCACTTAGCTTAGAGAGAAACCTAAATTGGTCAGGCAGGTATGTATTATAATGAGTGAGATTTCTGTCAACCTGAAAGTAGCTATCTGTTTGTTAAACTCTGAAGCAGCAGTGACACTCCTAAGTGTAAATGGATAAAGTTTGGCCTGGCAACACAGCAAATATAATGCAAGAGGGAGGGTATAGTTATCAATTACATGAGGCTGACCTTAAGTATAGGTGACTGTTAAAAGTGCCCCTCTGTCCTCTGTGAGAACATACTTCCAGTAACACATCCCTGAACTCTGTGAATTGAACTGGTTATTTTTCAGTTGGGAGAGTTCTCTGATGCAGTGCACGATCTGACTCTGCAAGTGCTAGTTACTGGTGTGAGGAAAGGGCATGAATTTGGAGGAGGTGTATGAGAGGGGGAAGTTCTGGGGGACTGCCCAGATGGACTGGTTCATGACAGTTTGAGGTATGCATCATGTGAGTAAGAAGATCACATCTCCACACACAAACTCAAGGACACCCCCTGCAAACTCTCTTGAGCTCTAAGTATCTCTGTTCTGAATAACATTCATATTTTTCTCCATAAGATTACCCAGATAAAGAATGTTGTATAAATTCAAATATTAACTTAATTCACAATTCTTTCCTGTTCCAAAATTCATTAAGGCATGACACAGTTGAAGCTTACAGAAAATGCTATTACAGAAGATCATGCAATTAATACTGTTTTTTTTATCATTCAGTTTCTCAAATAGGTCCTGCAAATTTCAGATTGTAGTGGTATAGGTTATCAGAGACACATTTAACTGATGAAGAATCAGGAATACAGGCATTTTAGTTTATAAAATACATTTCTATAGATTCTTTATGTATTTGTAGTATTCAGACACTTCAAGAGTTGGAGTTCACTAGCAATGAAAAACACTGGATAAATGAAAAAATGAAAAATATGTTACCTGTTCTTACTGATGTAACTTCTGTCAACACCCAAACCAAGCAGCAAATATATCTCTAAACAAAATTAGTGTCTGACTTTATTTTGGAAATTTCATAGGTTGCTCTGACTTACTGTCTCCTTCTGTTGTGTGTTTTGTACTCAGCAGTGGTTTAAAGCAGTTCTGGACAAAGTTAGCAGACTACTTAGTGCTAGCAAAAATACGCAGAGCACTGGGTTTTTCTTCCTGTCAGAAGCACTTCTCTGGTGCTGCTCCTCTCAATATGGAAACACTGTATTTTTTCTTGGGTCTGAACATCACCCTCTATGAGGCCTATGGGATGAGTGAGACCACAGGCCCGCACTGCCTATCTGGGCCATATATTTACAAGCAGCACAGGTAACTTTACCTTTTTTTTTTTTTTTTTTTTTTTTTTTTTTTTTTTTTAATATGGTATGTTTCATTATATCTATGAGAAGAGTACTTACTAAGTTCAGCAAAGATCTTATGACTTATCTTATTTTCTCTCAATGTGTTGGCACTCTGTCGTGACTTTGAGAGGCAAAATAACTTCCAGGTCAGAAGCTTAACACTTTGCCTCCATAGCATGCCACACCAATAGCACTGAAGGTGATCTACAGCATTAAATGCAGAACGCAGTTACTAAATCTGACGTACATCCTAGCCCTGGCCCAGGGTAGGAGAGCTTTCAAATGCAAGACCTCAAATGCACAAGTGTTCTATGCCTGAAGATACAGAGGGGAAAAAAAGCAGGAAACACAGGGCAGCTGAAGAGCCCTTAGATACTCTAACATATCTGCCCTAGTGAATTAGTATTCCATAGCTTTCAAACAGTTTCAGCAGGGTGTTATTTACAGTCATTAATATTTTGAAAGGTTCAGGGATTTGGGTATGTTAGATGCCTTATCAGTATTATATTTAATATTTCTGTGCTCCTTGTGGTTTTTTTCTGCTTTTCTCTGATAGTTGTGGTAAACCAGCACCTGGCTGCAGAGTGAAGTTGGTCGACAAAGATGCAGAAGGCAATGGAGAAATCTGTTTCTGGGGAAGGACTGTTTTTATGGGTTATTTAAATATGGAAGACAAAACAAAAGAAGTCTTTGATGAGGATGGGTGGCTGCATTCTGGAGATTTAGGAAAACTAGACAAGGATGGCTTTCTCTATGTCACTGGAAGAATTAAAGGTAACAAGCAACATCTTGCTCCATGTTTGTGGTAACTTTTCAGCACTGTTCTGTCACATGTCAGATACGACCCATCTAATTAAATGTCTTTCCTCTAATGCCAGCAGCATTGACCTAATAAGAAGGTAAAATAAACTCTCTTATGAGGAAACCATGGTGTGACCTGTTCAAGAAAGGTTTCCCTCTAGTCTGCAATAGTTGGAGATGATTCATTTGCTACAATGAGGCTTTTTATCTCCCAGACCTTTAGTTCAGTATTATAATTAGTCATATAAAATAATAATGCAGGTTTAATGCATCTTCTTCGATTCTAATGATTTATTAAGCTGTCCATTCTCCTTTTGCATCTTGCTAAATTATCCTAATTGCATATTAGAATGTTCAGACAGTAACAAGAGCCAATCCTCTGTTATATAAAAGTTGTTGCTGTAGGTCACAGCTAGGTTCCTCTGATGCCTTAGGTTGATATGTTTGCAGAAACTAGTATTGAAGCTTGAGAGCAGAAGGGAAAGTTAAAGCTAAAGCAATAAACCTAGGTATTACTTCACTACAGAGCTTGAAGTCTCACATGAGTAAGACTGGTCACTTGCCTACTTGGAAGCTTTTTTTCATGGTGCCTATTCAGAGTGGGATTGGTCACAGTCAAGATGTAACTGAAGATTTAAAAATTGAGTATCTTGTTAGAATATATGATGAATCACTAGGGAGATAACACAGATGAGTGCATTTGTCATAGGATGACATAGTGCCCTGTTAGAAATCAGGACTTAAGTAGACACTATTAATACCCTTCACTAAATGCAGCTATCTTGATTTTAACTTGCTTTCTTGACTGATTCATTTTCCTTCAGCAGCAGCTCCTAGTCTCATCCTGTCATAACATTTGTGTTTCACTTAATCAATCTTCCTTGATTGCTAAACTAATAACAATTACTCTAAATTATAGGACAGGTAGACCATCTGGGATAAAATAACTGTTTTAAATCCAAAAGTTTTAAATCCAAATCAGGTAAAATCTAATAGAAGGTAATAATGAAGATTTTCTTCTAGTGACTGAAACAGGACTTCCATCCTTTGGTTCTGTGAGTCTTACGAGTTAATGACTCTTTAGCTGCAAAGCACATAGATGTAGCTGGAGAAGTCTGTACAGGGGGAGTATTTGTAGAGGTGTGGACAAAGTTGTTACAATTGTGACGGTTGTCTGGATTGGCTGACATCTGAGGCAATGAAAAACTAAGTGCCGGAAAGATTGGTAGAGGATTTAAGACAAAGACAGGACTAAGGTGGAAGGAGGGGGGAATGAAAGGGAAAAATAGACCTAGACAAGTCAGGATGCACACTACCTTCGGTATGTATCTGTGGTTTGACAGGAGTCTCACTCTATAAACCCTGCTTGTGCTTCCTCAAACGTGTGGAGTGTGTTGACTAGGGAGAGAAATAACTTTCATAGTCATGAGATTAATGCCTATTCTGTACTAGAAGGTTGAGTATAGACAGGAAATTATTTCTTGTCATAGTTCTCTTGGACCAGTAGAGGTGGTAGGGCCCAAACCTGTGAATGCTGAAAGGGTGCTACATTCCCTTGATTTGCACCTAAATTCTTCAAGTTTATTGCTGACAGGGAATCAGGTACCAACCTGATCCTTCATACATACAATCAGCTGCATTATTACACAAAGGGCTGGTATACCATTTGTCTGCATTGTTTGTTGAAGCATGTTCTGAAATGCTGCAAAGACTATTATTTGAGGTCAGTGAGAAGTCACCAGTGTAATGAAAGTAAAGCATTGGAATTTACTTAGATAATACTCAAATTTTTAATAATTACAATGAATATATGTATTATACTTCAGAACAAATGCATTCAAATAAAAATGCACAATCCTTTATTAACAGAATAAGGTATCACTACCATTATTTACAAACCTTAAAAATATTAAGATTCCAGTCTGTCGTTATATTCCCTTCATGTCAAAAGTAGGCCAGGAATCACTACTTCCACTGCAAACTTCCCCTCTTAGATCTTGAGTTCTCCCTCCTCAAACTCATCTCTCCCTTCTTTCCATATTATTTTTATGGAGCCTTCCTGCAGCTGAAACTTGTTTTTGTGTGACCCCTCTTGGTGGCTTTAAGAATTAGTTTTAATCATGATGTTAACAATGAACTTGCTTTTTTGTGAGATAGCACCCATACATAACCTGTTACCTGAAAATCATCTGGAGCAAATATTTTATACTGAGCGAGAACTGAGAACTTAAGCACATATCTGAAAAAACTAGCATTTTTACTTTGAAGATAATTAATAGGCTCTGCTATCTTTGAAAACATAATATTTGAAAAGAATCTCTTTTATTCTTTGTCAGAGTAAGAAAAGTGGGTCGGTCTGGACATTAACCTGATCTTTGGAATTTATGTGAATTCAACTAATAGCCTTTCTTTTTTGCCTAGATTTGATTATTACAGCTGGAGGTGAAAATGTGCCTCCAATTCCAATTGAAGATGCTGTTAAAAAAGAACTCCCAATTGTCAGTAATGCTATGGTGATTGGAGATAAAAAGAAGTTTTTGTCAATGCTGCTGACCCTAAAGGTACACCAGTTTTAATACCAATTTCAATGGAATTATACACCTGCACCTAACAAAACAAGAAGACAAGATGTTAGTGGGGAAAAAAAGTGTAGCAACTACAGACCAAATCCTGATGGTCTAAACTTCTTATAGTTAGGTGGTCTGCTAAACATCCATGTATTTACTGCTGTTTCTCATATATGTATATAAGATGACCTTTTTTACTTAAATGCAAATTTTAAATTAAGAAATGTTGAAAGAGTGAGAAGTCTCTGTAATGGAGAACAATAATAGCTTTTATTCTTACAGATGAACAAAGCCAACAAATGCTTCTGTTACACACAAAACTAGTTCTAGTTTCTAACAGAAACTTTCCAAGAGAAACATTTATCTATAATTAGTTTTTTTCATATAACACGAGAAAGATAATTGTAGAACAAAATAATCAATAGGTTTGCTGTGGTATACGTTTCAATTGAGAAATCACTTTTTTCTAAAACATTTGCACTTTATGTTCTGTGTACATACATAGTGACGGACACTATTTTTTCTCAAGTTGTTTACCTCTATGACTGATACTCCCTATATACAGGCACAATAGAAATATTAATCTAAAAAGTCTAACTTCAAAGAGTGCTTCTCTCTCAAGTTGTTTATGTTACAGTAATTTAATTTAATGATAAGCTAAATGTTCCTCTGGAACAATGGAGTAATTTGGAAAATATGGTGGAAATTCAAGGTCTATAGGTGGACTTTAAGTGCCTGATTCATTGACGCGTTTTAAGTCTGTTCATGTCATCTGTATGTAAGCCAAAAATATTTGTATTTGGTAGCCAGGTGGAAAGAAAAGCACTATCATCTGTAGGTGTTTCTGCTTTTTAAGGCTTACAGAATGGGTGTTGATGCTGAGCCTGCTTGATTCTTACTAGTTAGGGAGGGACCTGATCAGGGAAACATTTAATGCCTTGTAAGAGTGACCATTTGATCATCCACTTCATTTGATATTTTAGAGCGTGCTGGACCCAGATACGTCTGATCCCACTGACATTCTCACTGAGCAAGCCAGAGACTTCTGCCAGAAGGCTGGTAGTAAAGCCACTAAAGTATCAGAGATTGTAACTACAAGAGACCAGGCAATATACCAGGCCATTCAGAACGGAATCGACAAAGTCAACATGAATGCTACTAATAGGGTTCATTGTATTAAAAAATGGATAGTCCTGCCAAGAGATTTTTCCATTTCTGGGGGAGAACTAGGTAAGATTTACTGATTTATATTGACATATATACACAGTAAAGAGCCTGCTGATCTAAGAACATTCAAATACAGCTTTCTATGCCAAATTCAGTACAGCCGCTAGAGGGAAAGGAAAAAACATTATGCATCATGTGTTAAAAGAATACAATAGTTGGAGGTTTTGCTGTGTACATATATATCAGTATGTGCTCACAAGTACAGCTCTATAGTTAAATTTCAGATTTCTTTGGGCAATTAAACAATCAATTCTGATTAATTAATTGTGCATTACAGTATTAATAACTTCCAGTAATAATACAGAAAATTTATTGCTTTAAAAAAAAAGGGGGGGGGGCAGCAAGACAGTAAAACCTGACACCAGAGCCCCAAGCACGTTACCCGGCTCTTTGAATAAACTGGGAATTTTTTAAAAGCTGTTTAAAAAAAAAAAATAAAAAAATCATCCTTTTAATTGTTTTTAACGAAAAAGTAGTAGTAGTAGTCAGACATCACCCTCTTATCTGCAGCTCCTTTTGAAGTATTTATGCTTATGTGGAGGCAACCTTACATATCACGCTTGCTTCTCACTTTAGCAGGTATCTACACTTGCAGAGAGGGAGATGTTCTTCCTAACAAGCTCTTCAAAAGAAAATCTTAGGAAACAAAGCTCAAACTGAGTAGGAATTTTTGTTCCTTTTTCTGCTGTTGTGACTAACTCCCTCTTTTAAGGTCCTACAATGAAGTTAAAACGGCTTACCGTGCTTGAGAAATACAGAAGTGAAGTAAACTCCTTCTATGAAGAATAAGAAGTCTTTCATCCAAGCATTAAGAAAGATCTGTGAGCTTATGGAATTTATTTCCTAATCAAAAGCATTAACAAAGATTTATACTTGTTTTGATTTTGTAGTGTATTGAACTGAACCACTAGAAAACTGCTGTGTCTATTTAGTTGTTCCTGATACTCATCTCATCGTTTGTCCTCTTTTTACAGAAGCATCTACACAGTATGTCCATTTTCTAATACTGTTTTCACTTTATGACCTAAATGATTTAAGATAAAAATCATCCTCTTTGTTGTATAAAGTGGGTATGATGAATTAATTCCTCTATATATTGATCTTTTTTTTTCTTTTGTTCTACATGATGTTGCCTGTAGCTCATTAGTTTGTTAGCTCAGTAGTTAGCAGTACTGCTGCTTAGTGAAACAGTTATAAAGATAATTATTAAAAAAAAAATTCTAAAGGGCTGGTTTTGTCCCCTCCCAGAGAAGTTTTTGTTTACTAGCACATTTCAGAACCTATGACGTTCACCTTCCATTTTCACAGTGGCTAGAATTCAGACTTTTGTGAAAACAGCGGTGCATCTTTTCTTAAATCCATATTGAAATAAACATTACTATTTCTCCTAAAAATAATAAAAAACGTTGGGAGAAGAGCTCCCTAAGACTGAAAGATGTAAAGCAGCAAATACAGCAGCTCTCACATTAAAGAGCTATTTAGAACAGAAACTTGTAAAAAATTGTTTACAGTACTTTTTTTTTTTTAAGCAAAAGAGTTTAGAAGCAATGTTTGTCAGTGTGTATCTGCATGTTTCAATCTTCACATTATTCTGACACGAGCTGCATTTCTTTTTCCCCATATAAAAAATAAATCATATTATGTGAAAAACATACTTGACAGAGTGTTGACTAAAAGCTTTGCCGTTAGTAAGTGCTTTGGCAAGAGTTACAATAGCTAACACAAGCAGGCAGGCTACAGCTACTGTTCTTGATTAAAAAAAAATATCATGCAGAATAGGACGCTGTTTCCATTAAAGTTCCATTTCCAGTCTTACCGCATCTTACAGACTCAAGAATTGGTGCAAATACCACTAATCAGCTCAACACATAAGACAAGATAGCAGGTTAGGATTATAAAAACAAAACAAGCACTAGGACTTTGAAAAGTTTATTTTTCCCCATTTTGTGCGCAATGGTAATTCAGAAGTTCTTTAACAGCATTAATCTAAAGGAAACAAGGAACCAGCAGCAAGAAATGTTGCCCTATTCAGCAAGAGCAGAGTGCACAAGGAATAAAGCTCATTGTCCCTCCTCCAGCATGTTGTTATACTGTATAAAAAAGCTGGGATGCTTACTTTATAGAGTGACACTAGAAGTGGTTACTCAAAATTGATTTTACTTCTGAAATAACCAGTCTAAGCTGTCTCAAGAGAAAAGAAACTAAGAGGAGTAATATCTATTAATAGAATTAAGCTTTAAGAAGCCTGGTTCTGGCAGTAGGGATAATCCTGTGCTATAGTCATGAGTTTTAAAATACACATTTTTCTTGTTGGGTGTACTAATGGGAGCATACTGTAAGACATACAGATCAGAATGACTCATATGATGATCTGTATGTGATGAAGAAGGGAGGGAAAAGAGTTGCTTTTGCATCTGTTAAGCTTAGTAAGCAGGGAAAAAAATAGTCTTGGATCCCCTTGAATAGGGATGAAATGTATTTCTGGAACACAGGCACCAGAGCCAAACCTTCGATCTGTGTTAATCCGTTTAGGACTAGTCCCTTACATTCAGAGTTTTGAGAATAAAATCACTAGTCAATAGAGTAAAACACACTGAACAGACTATGCATAAAAGTACAACACAAAAAGCATTCTAGCAGAAGTCATGAAATACTTAGTATAAATTTGCAAAGTTAATACTTTCCCCTCACAATATATGGCAAAAGTAATTTTGTATAATTTACTCTCATTAGAACTCTGTTGTATACAACAAAGTGTGTTTCAGAGAGAAATTGTAAGAATTATTTTGGTATATAGATTTGAAAAATAATTTTGCTTCAACATTAACCTCTTGCTGGATAATGGTTGTTGGCTTTTTAAAAAATACACAAATAGATTAAATCTGTAGAAATTTGTATTTCTTTATTCATGCCCTTGAAGGACAAGGCTGTATTTCATGAATCACCAGAGCATGTAAAGTGTTTCTTTCATTGCTTTCAACATGAAATTGCTATTTTAAGTTATTTTATACCCGTTTCTGTTTTTGAAGGTCATCTTGTGCTATTGTTAGGCTGAAAACCTATTTTTAAATTTCAGTAAGATCAATGAAGTAGGTTTTAACCATTAAGGTGCTTTTACATTTCACTAATTCTGTTACTTGTTTATTTGCATAATTTTTCTTTGTGGAAAGTACAAACCTCTAGTTGAAATGGAAAATGGTAGACAGGTACAGTGGCAATAAAAGAATTAACTTACATAAAAATGTTCACCAGATAGAAAAAAAAAAAAAATAAATAAGATAAATCACTTAGAAAAGTCCACTGAAAGCAGGCACAAGCAACATTTGTAGCCATTTGGACTAAATTTATTAATGGAGAGGCCGTAACTAAAAAGTTTGCTCTCTTAAGAGACAAGCAAACTATATGCATATGGATATCAGGTTACATATGATGTACTTTGTGTGATGTGTCCTTTCAGAGTTATTACAAGTAGTATGAGGAGACTTTAGTCTGTGTCCTGTACTCTGCGGCAGATCTCCTCTGTGAATTCCGAGCACTTGGCGCTACCTCCCAAGTCTTTTGTCAAGACCTGAAAGAAAGAAAAAATAATGTTTTGGGGGCAAGTCTTGTCTCTAAACAGTTCTGTATATTCTCCTTATTTGTTGTGTGTGGATACTAAATAGGGGTGAGAAGGAATACATCAAGTTTGAATTCTTCTGCATCCCATGTGGCCTTCATCAATAAGGACTAAACAGAATGAAGCATGTAGAGAAAACTTGAGTATGAACATCAAGTATTATGATACCAGATTTCAACATGATTTTATCTTAACTACAGAAAGTGTGTTTGGCCAAAGCTCTCCAAAGTCCCTTAGCCACATAATAGTGTAATTAATTGTTAAGTATTTAAGTTTTCAATAAGAAGTTTGTCCTTTGGAAGTAAAATTCATATATGAAGGCTCAGCACAAAGGCAACTAATTGAGAGTAATTCAGTGAGGTTTTTGGTTTGTTTTGGGGTTGTTTTTTTTTAAAGGAAACCCACACAGAAGAAGCACACATAGCTCTTAATGCTGCATGTTAACAGTTCTTTAAGTTTGCTTAGTTTAGTTAAGAGATGGAAAAATGCAGTTAAGAGAAACTTTTTCATCAAATACAACTCCTGCCTGGCAGCACAAAGATAGTAAAATTTAAAAAAAAAAGGTGGGCAACATTGCATGTGCAACCTATCTAGATTAAAGCAGTCTAGGAGATAATTTAAAATCATTAGTTTTTCCTTTACATGACACAGACACACATATCTTAATTAAATGGCTGGAGGGAAGGGAGAAATAGCAAGCATGAGAGGCAATCAAGGTTACTATTTTAGGATTTTGTAATTTTAACTGCATTATGCTTTCTACAGTCTAAAGATTCTCTCAATTGTGAGCATATAATCATAACATTGTAAGTAACTAGTAAACAAATAGCCATGTCACAAAGCTTGCACTATGTTATCTTCCATAGAATTACTGACCTGCAGATGGAGGATTTCATTTCCAGACCAGTAAATGGGAACTTTACAGGAGCACCTCTTTATTCACTTGTAAGTTTAGATTTATTTTTTTTACTGGCTCCTACACACAGTAAGATAGCTGCAAACAGACCACTTATGAAATTATGACAGCTTTTTGTTTAAGCATGCTTGTTACTTTTAATTACAAAGCAGCTTCTTATGCTCCTGCCCAAGAAAATTGAACCAGCATGGCTAACTGCTAATCCTCTTTAACTGCAATCTTCAGGATCTTTTCAGTTGTTTTGAAAAGGTGGACATCAAAGTAGATGAGTGAACTAATAATGTTAAGAGCACAAATTCAAGTCAAGTTTCAGAGCATAAACCTCCCAAGAATAGCCCATTTGAGTCTTGAATCTGGAGAGACTTACTTCTAAGGAAATCACATACAATCTTAAGGGAAAATTTAAATACTGGATAACAACTGTTCTTTTGTAGTCCAAAAAGGAATAAAAGCAGTTAGGAGGAAAAAAGAAAATAATTTATATTAAAAAATAGGAGCAGAAGTATTACAGGCAGTACTGAAATGCTATAAACAAAGTGGATGATTAAGCCTGTGAAAGGCAAATGGGTGTCTTTCATTTCAGGATCCAGATTTAAATATATGCTTTGTATGCATTATAAACTTCACAGGTGAAATACCACTAGTTACTTAAACTTCTAATCTCCTTCATGAAAATCAGACATTCAGTTCTAGCTTTTAGAGTTGAAAAAGCAGTGAAAATGTAGAATGAGTATTACTGCGACACAAGGAACGCTACAGCCTGTCCTTATTACTGAGCTGGGCAGGTTTAATACCACCAAAGGTAATATAATTACTATCAGAGAAGGATAGTGGCACTGCTCGTGTGTCAGGCCAGCACAGCAGGTCATCCAGTGTTCTGGTGTTAATGTTCTAAGTTAATTTTTGCTGTGATAGAGTATGATTTTAATTAATGGCATTTATTTGCACACCCTCATATTACCTTTCCATCTTTAATTGTATCAAAGCAAGCTGTCTCAATTTTTGTGGCATGTTTGTGTAGTCCCATGTGACGCAACATCATTACAGCACTCAGAAGAAGGGCAGTTGGATTTGCCAAGTCTTTTCCTGCAATGTCTGGTGCTGTTCCATGAACCTAGAAATAAAAGTGAACCTGTCTGTTATAATGTCAATATGCTGATGAAAACATCCTAGGCAATGCAAGTGTATGCAGGCAACCTGAAACATAGCCCTTATGCACAAGCCTGTTAAAACAGGATTTACTTCGCTGTGATCCAGTAAGTGGAAAGGAGATAGGAAAGACCAGAACAATTAAGTTCAAAAGCATCAGAAAGGGGGAACTAGGTCACCTAGTATCAAATAAGTGTGCCCCTCAAGTTCTATTTCACAGAGAGTATTTGTCTTATGAAAAACAGGGAAAACAAAGTGTCAGTAAAAGGACATGGAAAAACTATGTGTAATACATACACTAAACCTGCATTTTCTGGGTAAAGTTTCAGCATCTTCATAGTAAAA